TACATTTTTATGCAGTTGTACGGGGATCCTTAAGTGGAAAGCTTGGACAACAGGAGACAAAACCGTTCAAACTAATCAAATTTCATTAATTAATTGCTAATTCTGAAATACAACAAACCAGCTTTATTCTTTATTATTGCATTGAGACACTTCAATTAATGACAAACCCAGTTACCTCCCCTATAAACTGTGTTGTGGACATTCCAGTACATATATATGTATATGTCAATAGACTGTTTGCACAAATATAATTCTACTTAGGGGTAGTTACCCTCTGAACATCAAGAAATAAACCAAATATTTTCAAACAGACATCTTAAAAAATTATTGTTCTCATCTTTTAGTACCAGAGCTTTGATATACAAAGCTCAACAGAACAGTACTGCACCTAACTAATAACCGCCCCTACCTATGACTGGAAATGTACAGAAAATATAACGACAATCAAAGTCCACAAACATGCTTTAAAGCTGTTTTCTTTTGCCTGCATAATACTAACTAATTATTTGTGTATTCCAGGGATTGTTTGCTACAAAACAATGATGACAATTAAAAATTTCCAGTAAATATAGATATTTTTGACAAGGCCGAGATGTAACGACCTAGATAGGAATGACAAGTTGTATTGGTGCTGTATTTTTGTGTAACTAGATCCCCCCCAAAGGTCATTTAAACCCCCAGCTGTCACACACTGCCTTGTGGGGCATGTACTGTCATAACTCCGATAATAAATATTGAACAGGTGTATAGTTCGATACCCTGAATACACATTGTATTGGCAACACAATGGATAGTCAATCCAGTAACTTTTTGACATTTTCAATGTTGCAATGTTGCAAAATTCTGCTACGGGCCATTTTAACACTTGTATTGTGCAGTAATGGTGAATACAACCAGTAACCAAATCCACTAATTCAAAGCTGACTGGTAGGAGTTGACCCAGAGTCTGAGATGAATGTCAACGAAAATCAAAAAATCAAGACAGGGTAATTATTTTGAAAGAGGCAGGACTTCAGCAGGAACTGTTCTTCACTGTAAACTATGTTGTAACAGCTAAGGAATTTTTGAGGGGAAAATACTGCCTTACTGGTAAGCTAGCTTTTCCAGTGATGCGGTATAACCTGTGGACCCGCTCACTAGTTCAGCAACGTCGGGCCTGGTCAGAAGTTGGATGGGTGACCGCCCGCACGTTACAAAAGACTCTTTTGACCAGTGACGAAGAGGTCAGTATAGTCACAAAACAGTGCATCATATCACTTAGTTCATCTTCTATAGTGCCGCAGAACTGGACTTGGTCAATCGGCAGCGACCAGGTGTCTCAAATGATTAGAGCCTCTAACAAGAGTTTGATTGGTCCTAGGCTCAAATGCTAGTCTTGCCATGCATTTTTCTCTCCCATTACATTTGGGCCTCAATGAAATATACCCTAGGTAGGTGTTATAGGGTCTCATGTAGTAATGTAGTAATGAACTAGCATTTCCAATATGTGTTTCAAGTTGTATCAAGCTATCTAAAATTATTGTTACAATTATGACACTTGCACATGTACCAAGGGGGTTTCAGTTGTCGAAAAGCCTTACCAAGAAATGAAATAGTATCACACATATATGTCTTATAGCCTACACTCAACAAATACCTGTCAAATGTATTAAGGGGGATGTAAATTATTTTGAGAAACATATATTTCAACTTGAAGATTACTTTTGAAATGGTTCATTAACATACGGTAATAGCATTTTAGTGGCAATTTTTAACCTCGCTACCCCATAATTCAACCCGCCCAATATAGAACAGTTTGATAGCCAATAAATAACAGCCAATTTATCAGTTCTGCACACACCAGCCATTTAAACTCACTAACAACAACCTTAATGAATTCCCGGTCACATATTTTCACAACCATGACATTGATTAAAGAACAGTTTTATCAATTACTTTTAAAACACAGATTAATATAGTGGCCATTACAGTCTATGGGCCTCATGTTCCTATTGTGGTGGGGAATTTCTATAGTAGTGTAGAGTAATAAGCTTGAGTATAGTAACCCCGAGGCTGGTCTAGTACCAGTACATTGACAAAGTCACCATACATACACTGTACAGGTCCTCAGCATTCTTTAGTACTGTATCACAGATAGACCAACTTATATCACTCTCACTTTGAGTCCTCCTAAAACCTAAAGCTTGTGCTCAAATTTTCATGCTAAGCAGGGCCCATATTCATGACACCGTTCTCATGCTCAAGCATAGATTTAGTGCTCAAACCATCTTTCTTGTAACTCACTTAAACCATGGCAAATGATCAAAGAATCAAATGTCAACATTTAAAACAGTATTCGGCTTTAGATCTCTTCAAATATTTTTCCATATCATTGACAAAATAAGATTTTATTGTTAATTTATAAAAAGAAAAAGAAATCAGGATTGAGTGCAAAATCCTTGCTTGAGCAGGAAAATAGTTTCATGAATACGGATCTAGGACTTTAATTTGACTCCTGAAACTACGACTGGGTTTAAAAGAACTTGCTATTTCACATGTTTTGACTGCCCATGTTTCAACTTCAAGGTGATTTAGCCCTGCTGTTTAATGTATCCGCTACTAAGCTAGACCTCAGTCTGGGGCAGTCCCATAGTGTTGGTGATGAGAAAGGAGTATTACCTCTATAGTAAAAAGTTACATAGGAACACAAAACTTTGTGTAACCTTACTGTGTCCATGACAACTTTTTCTTAACAGCTTGTTGGACTTCTTTCTTTCCTTTTTGTACTATATATACATTTCGTACTATAAGCATGAGGTCATAGGTTGAACCTAGCTGGTGACACTTACTACTGTGGTTGTGTCTTTAAACAAGATATTTAATCGTCATTGTTCCAACCTACCCAGCTACACAAATATGTGTTAGCATGCTGGGAAGTAACCTGAACAAGACTGGGGCCCTTTAATGACTTTCTGTCACCTTAGACCATGAAAACAAGGTTTAGCTCTGGTTCATAGGCCATAACTAAGGCTTGAACAGACCTGCACCATAGTGATCACCATCATACTTCCTGATGAAAATTAATTTGTAATGGACTGAATCTTTTTTACTTGCTTCATTTATAACTTCCCTAACTATACATGCATGACTATGGCAAATCTGTGATAAAGCCATTAGTAAACTTAGGAACAAACAATAACAAACTTCATGATTTATCATACTGATCAAAGTTTGAACAATCCATTTCCTGCATGCACAGATGCAATGCAACCTCCGACTATCAGTGTTAACAGTTGATTAGCTTCTCAGCCTTATAGATACGGCCAAGAGTTAAACATACTAGGTACAAATTGTATATAAGTCCCCCCTACAGTGCAACAGCCATTTCTGTGACAATATCATAAATATGGCATCAGAGGTTTGTCCGTAATGTACATTACATTTCCATATGAGTGTAATACCCGATAAATGGGGCCATATTGGGCCTCTATGGTACATTATACCACACAAACCTACAGGGCGGGGGATCTCTCCACTTAAATGACCGGGGCATTGAAGTTCAACACCATAACTAACGTAGGTACACATCTTATGAGAGATTTTACAAGTCTTCAAAGCCTGGTGAGTTTTCATGCTACGCTGTATTTTGTATCGCAAATGAAACTTTTAAAATTTTATAAAACTTTATGTAAAATATTATACACAAGATTAATACTTCTAAACGACAATGTCATCTAATATAAACTGCTTTTGATATTTCTTGCTGGAATAACAAGTAATAAATCTTTTTATGAAGTTGACAGTATGAAGACAATTTGTGTCTGTATGTGTACATGTATATGACTCAGGAAGAACACCGAATCATAAATGGCCCATGTTCTCTATAACAAGGTAATAAAATCCACAGATCAACATGGAGGACACAGCCAATTTCACAGTCTACCATATAGCTAAACAACACTAAGAGGAGAGGAACTTCTACCATACAGCTAAACAACACTAAGAGGAGAGGAACTTCTCCCATATAGCTAAACAACCCTAAGAGGAGAGGAACTTCTACCATATAGCTAAACGACACTAAGAGGAGAGGAACTTCTACCATACAGCTAAACAACACTAAGAGGAGAGGAACTTCTACCATACAGCTAAACAACACTAAGAGGAGAGGAACTTCTACCATATAGCTAAACAACACTAAGAGAAGAAGAACTTCTACCATTTAGCCACACAACGCTCACAGAAGAGAACTTCGACCATTTAGCCACACAACACACTTAAGAGAAAAACAGCTTCCGCAGCACTATTGCTAAATTCAATTTCGTTTAGCGAATTTTCTTTTCTTGAAAAGGTATTCTTCTAAAGAAAACTGTTCAAAGCTATCTCTCTAAACACCTATGTATTCATTTAACATATAACTTGAAAGGAGATCAAGCGGATAGTTAATTTCCCAAAGGGCCATCGAGGACGAACACTGATCTGGATATAGGTCAGACACAAGCAGGCCCCCTTAAGCCAGCAGTTTCACCTTTACCTAAAGGAGTTTTCTGACCACAGCTGACAGGATCAGACTGTTATTGTTAAATCAATTTATATGACGATCCAAAACACAAGCCAGTGTTCAAACATATCTGAGCACACAAGAAGAAAAGTAGAAAAATGCATTAGATAATCCAACACTTATAAAGCATAATAAAGGTGTTGAGCATCTTTTATTTTTTATTAAGAAGAAAAGAAGAACAAATTGGGAACATCTAAAGAAATTTCCCATTTAAGGATTTTATTTTTGTATTCAACATTTTAATAACCTGACCCACCATAAAAGCACACACACCAGATGTTTGAGCAGAAAAAACATGGTTTATCAAAAATTTTACTACTTGGTCTAGGAAACCACTTACCTTATTTTCGTGATAATGTCAACATCACCCTCTTTTCAGTCAAGGCATAGTACTTCAGCAAAGTAATGTATATACATTATAATATAAAGGTATTGCATTTAGGAGTATGTATACATCACTCACCTTTTCACTCATGGCATTGTACTTAATGCCAAGCTCATCTCTCTCTGCCCGACTTGCTGCCAGTAGGTCCTCCACACGGTTGAGTTCTGAGGCCAGGAGTTGATTCTCCTCCTGAACCTGGTTAAGACTCGCTGACGAAGCCATCCTGCCAGGACTAGGATCGTCAGAGGTCAAGTTCTTAGTGATTATCTCCCTTATGCGGGCCGGTATCTTGGAAGGGTTGCTGTCCTCCCCTCTTACAGTGTAGTCCTCACTGTCCCTCAGCACGGAGTCTTCTAGTTTCTGAAACACACCAACATCCCATATCATTATTATAGGGCAAGGCTGTAAGCTTCTTTTTGTATTTTAAGTAAGTAATTATTACTAGAAGACAGATTTGGAGCATAAATTTAAACAAACATTGGGACAAGAAAAAGCAAGGTATGGAATATATATATAAGCATATTCAATGCTGCATTTGCCCACAACATTTGCAAAAAATGGAATTTTATGGTAACTGCAAGGTTCAGCTTCCTAATCCTTGCAATTGTGTTTATTAGGAACACAACTAGCTTACAGACGTATATAACATACTCCTATTGAATGACTTGTACATCTGTAACCGTACGAGGAGGAATGTTCCTCAGCGGTTTAGAAATCGTCTCCCTTGGTCATTAACCTTACAGAAATGCCCTACAACTACTCAAGTTTAGTTAGACATTCTGGAATATCAACTTGTATGTTACAGCTTTAATCAATGGTACAGATCTATACTCTGAAGTATTCGCAAACTTTCCATCTTTGTCCTGCAAAGGGTTTAGCCAATTAACAAATCAATGCTCATGATATTTTGCAAAAAAAAAATCAATTTTGGTTCAGAAAAGGAATACAAATTTCATAATACCTGTAATATGCCAACAGGTATTTCTTAGTGATCCATATTCTAAACTGAATGTATTAAAGTAAAATTTCCAATAAAGGAATTACCTAAGCATTAAACATTATACTTCATGTTACGTTTAAAACGTCATTCAGCAACCTTATAGCAACCAGGCCAAATTTCCTTTTGACCTAATTATTATACTGTAGGTAAACTGTTTCCCCACCGTTCACAGATGGATTCTACCGTCTATTAAACAGGATCATACCACTGAGGTTTATAGGGATAAATCAGAGGACCACATCGTTAATATTGACTAATTAAAATTAGTAGGAGCACTTTACATTACAACTCATCAGGTTTCTGTGTACAACTTCCGGCAAACACAATTGCTCAATGGGTCGGTCAATAGCTTGGATGAAATACTGCTCACTTAGCAATTCTGTCCCTACAACGTTGGATCAGCACTATTTACCACGGTCAATAATTTAGTTTGTAACTTCACTACAGCAGGAAATTTGACTTAGTGTATACAAACATTTTCTCCACCACCTAGAGGCCACATTTTGTTTATTCACTAATGATAGACCATTTAAAATGAATTTTCTTATCCAATTGAATGTTGCAGCTTTACATATAACCTCTGAATTCTGTATACAATTAGTAGGCAGATTCATTTAGAATACACAGTATAGCCGAGGGAAATACAGACCCACATGATATGTACTATCTTAACCTGTACAGTAATACATAGCTATGTTCATGCACAGAGCTAATGGAAGAACGCTAGAAACTGGACAAGAATCATTACCACCATTATATTGTCCTAGGTGATAATACAGGTACATTCAATTGCCGTGAACCATTATCAGACATTTACTGAAGAGCTGTGCCTTCTTGATATGTAGGTTCCAGTAGTATTGTTGACAATATTTGGTACTATTGTCTACTGTATACAGGAATCATAACCTTGCTTTACAGTGTAAATTTTCACCTTACATTGCAATTTTATAAAAGAAATATTACGAAGTCAAGAGGATTTTTTTGTCTCATTTTGGGAAGAAAATACACCATTTGGAAAGGAAACTTTCAGGAGTAAACTGCAAATTTTGGGAATAATGCATAAATAAGAAATAGTTTCAATTAGGAATGGAGCCGAATGGAGCCAATTATCCTCCCCAAAAAAGTCCCAAGAAAAAGCCCTAGGAGTATATGGATTGTACGTGTACAAGCACTGGGTGTTAACTCATTCACCCCTGAAACTTCGTAATGAACTATTCCAACCATTGAGTTGGAAGAGTTCAAATGTGTCTTCAGGTGTGAATGAGTTAATACTGTTGATCTATACATGTATACCTGTGTAACTGGAAATGAAATAGAAATGATCACCAGTTTATTTCCAGTGTTTCCATGGTTACGTGAAATGTAAAAGAAAAGGACTCATTATCTAATTACTGGGCTATGGTATATGTATATCCTTCAGAACTAGAATTGTATAAAGAAAATGGCTTTTACCAATTAAAATATATCCTTGGTAACTGCAATATATTGCGAAATAAAGGGTATCACCTTGTTACAGACAATACGTAACCTTGGTTACTCGAGTTGTATAGAAAATGAAACGGGATTGTTAACAGGTAAAGTTCATATATCATTAATTAATAAAAATTGAGCAAAATGGGGATGGGCACCCAATTTTTAGAATGGGTCTATTGATTGTAAATATGGGACAGGTTGGAACTTGTGACCATACATTCCCTGAAATAGAAATTCAATAAATTTTTAATAATTTAAATCTGTGTTAAATCAAAAATGTGTTGAAATATATGTAGAATAAAACTGACACCATAGAAATATAAACACATTTACCCCTAAAGACACATTTGAACTCTTCCAATTCAAAGGTTGGAATAGTTCATTATGAAATTTCAGGGGTGAATGAGTTAAGAGAAGGTTTTACATACAATGTACATGTGTATTTGTGTTCAGTCATATATCAAGACAACCCTTACTATAACATGACTGAAGAATGTTTCATAAAAAAAAACATAAAAAATATTGTAGTATTTAAATGAGGAATATCAAACTTAAAAAAAGATTTGTCAAGAATTTTAAAACTTGTACATAAATCTAAACCGTGATAAATGAATGAGTACAAAATGTTTTTTAAAATAAAGTCCTGGTATTGAATAGATACAAGAGTCTTTATAATGTCGTTTAATGATTTGAAAAATCAATAACATCTCACTTCAATAGTCAATAATCTGGGATAAATGTACTAGATATAAGGCTTTTATTGATTATTCGTACAATTTCCGCCTGTATGAGCGAGGATGTTAAATTTCCCGTAATACAAGGTGACCTGACACCCACCATGTAATGACATATAACCAGGCTTTCACAACTGATGTTGTAATGATATCTAGTGTATCAAAAATATATCAAATGAGGATGACAGAAATTGGATAAAAATAATAGAAGATAAATCATGATAAAAATGTTGGATCAAACATTTACAATACACTGATGTTAAATTAAAACGAGCTTTTAATTGAGAAGGAAATCAATAGCTGATCATCACTTTGGATACGTGTCAAAGCTTGTAGGCCAGAGCTACCTATGTGTGTATGATATTCGTAAATGAATGAACATTTTCAATATTAAATACCTAAATTCACTGTTTTATTAACTTGAGAAGGCAATAAAGTTCATATGAGTACATAGGTATACCCTAAACAGATTGAAAACTGACTCTTAGACAATGTAGCATCACCACGTCACTGTTTAAATACCTTGAATGACAGGCCCATAAATTTAACATTAAACGACTTGTGTAAGGTGATATTATATTCAACAACCAATTCAACAATTCCTAATTTTGGGGTCAAAAAGTCACTTCCTTCGCTCAAAATTGATATGTAAAAGTATGCAATGTTTATTAAACTATCTACATATATATAACACTAAATCTGAAAATCTTTTACAACTTTCAAGGCCATAGATTCAAAGGGATAAACTGAAGGTCAAGTTTTGGTATACACAGTACCGTTGCTGTGATTTGGTTTGTGATGATCGTGAGCTGAGTTTAATTATGATGTAGTTGACACAAAGACACAGAGTAAGTCAAACCTACACAGTTTATGAATAATGAAGTTTTACTCTAACAACTTCAAAGTAAAAACATGGATTTTTCCTTTTAGAATTCACAATGCTATCATACAATCAGTTGAATTTGTACTTTAAAGTGAACAGGTACATGGTGCCAGGTACACAGTTTTCACTATAAAACCTCTGAGAATGAATGTAGTATATAGAAACGTGGTAGAGGGGTAACATAGGCAGTATTTTAATGTTGTAAAACTTTAATTATAGTCCTGGACCAAGTATGTATACCTTCATACACCCCATAGCCATCCCATAGTAAAGTGAGACACACATAGCAGGTCCACATGAGTCTTGACTTGTCCCTATAGGAGTGACTGTCTTCCAACACTATTTACCTATATTCCAGTATTGACATTTGCCACAAGGTTGTATACACAGGTAACATAAGCCATAGCAATCACAAAAGAATTTGTAAAATGAAACTCCAGAAAACTTTTAAAACAGGATCCGGACTACAGTATAAAATTTGGAGTCAACTTTACCGTCGATGGTAGTTTGTTGTGAATTACAAATAAAATCTAGAAATGAAAATCTAGATTATTCGAGACCAGAAAGTATTATCACAACCTCCAAAGTATTCTCCTGATAATGATCTAATAATTAAACAACCATGAAATAGTATACCGAGTAACATATACTATAAAGATTGCTTTATTTTTGCATTAATTCATGAGAAGTACTCATTTGCAAATTAAATCGTCTATGAAATATCAATTTCCATTGATCAGTAGAAGTACAATGAACTATCAATGTCGAAACAGTATACTCTCAATCACAAATTTTACAAACATTGTAAATAGCTTAGTTCGTGAAGTAAAGTACAAACAAAAAATTAAGTGATGCATTTACTGAGCACTATATATATATTGATAAGATCTTTTTTAAGTTTGTTAAGTATTTTGCAGAGTAGTAAATTGACAAGGTAATAATTTTGACAAAAAAGTTTTCCGCTAATTGGCTGTTTAAAAAGGTGATATAAGTACATGTAAAATAAATAAGTATAAATATATATATATGCAGATTGAAGTAATTGTTAACCTTTTCACACAAAAGCGATTTTTTTTAAATCAGGACTGTAATGTAATCAAATAGCCTTTGACATTCTCAAGCATCAAGATTTTTTAAAACAATTTAACTACATAGGACAATATTGGTAGGAACAAAATCGTTTCTCAAACTTGATGAACTTTACTGTGCATAGGACATACATTTTTGTGATCCATTCTGTATCAAAAAACACATTTCAAAACAAGAACCC